GCTGGAGAGGAAGTGGCATTCCACCGATCGAGAGGAATTTCACAAAGCTTGGAAAGATAGTCTATTAACATACAGAGAAGCCTACATTAAGCCAGAACCTCCTATTATTCATGGTTAACAGACAGTCACAGCTCTGTTGAACTGTCTGTTCCTTTAACCCTCAGTAGTAATGACTTCATGAGCTTCTTTACAAATAAAACAGTGATTATTGGAGAAAAAAAAATCCTCATCTCCTTTTCACAACTGACACAGATGTATTGACTAGTGCGGCAACCTTGGAATCAACTGTAACGCCTGCTTTATGTTTAGGCTCTTTTCTCTCCTATAGATCTCTCAGAGCAAACCTCAACAGTTTCTTCATTGAAACCATCAACTTGTTTTCTAGACCCTGTTCCATTGAGGCTGTTCAAGGGTGTTTTTCCTTCTATCAACACTTCTGTATTAGATCACATCAACTTATCTTTATTAACAGGTTATGTACTACAGGTCAACCTCTACTTAAAAAGCCCACTGATGTTTTAGCGAATTGCAGACCCATGTCCAACCTCGCCTTTATTTCTAACATCCATCTATGTGATTATTTGTATAGGAATGGTTTATTTGAAGATTTTCATTCAGGATTCATCATAACACAGAAACAGCTCTGGTTAAGGTTACCAATGATCTCCTCATGACCTCGGACAATAGACTCATCATACTTGTCTTATTGGATCTTAGTGCTGCATTTGACACCATCGATTGCAGGATCTTTTTACAGAGACTAGAACTTGATAGATAGATTAAGGTATTCACACTAAGCTGGTTTGTCCATGTTGATAATGACTCTTCAATGCACACAAGAGTTAGTCATGGAGTTCCACAAGGTTCTGTGCTGGGACTAATACTTTCCACCCTATATATACTTCCTTTAGGCAATATTATCAGGAGGCACCAGATAAATGTCCATTGTTATGCAGATGACACCCAGCTGTATTTATCTGAAGCAAGATGAAACTAATCAGGTGTTCAAACTTCATACATGTCTTAAAGACATAAAGACATTTGTTAGAACTCTTTTGTTCCCGTCAGGATCCTGTAGGAATGATGACCCAGTTTTTCCTGTGATCTGATTGGTCAGTTGTTTGGTTGTTGACAGGTCTTGATGTGATCCTGTTGCAGAGCAGGTTAGGAGTTCAGTATAAGTTACTATGGTGATCTACCCTGGTAGGAAGTGAACCCCCCTTGTAGGACTGAAAACCCAGGGTGTCTTTGTTCTACCTTGTTGTGCTTCCCAGCTATTCTCTCGTGTTTGATTCCCGGTTCATGACGTTGCCTTGTTTTTTGGCTCTTGGATGTTTGCCTACTCTCGCCGCCTGGTGGTGTTCACCTGTTTTGGACCAACTAACTTCCTGGCTGTTCAGTTAAGACTTTGCCTTTTTATGAACTTTTCATCGTCTCCCGAGAGTTTCTCCGCATAAGTGTTGTAACTTTTTATCAAAGCACCAGATGTTTTGTGATGCAGATGCTCATCTGCTGTGCTGATGATTCAAGAGTTTCTCATCCAAGCGAGACTTGGAAGAGCTCCAACACTCACCTAATATTGTCTGTGCAGAAAAAGAACAGAACTTTTGCTTTTAGAAACGTAGACACCTCCTTGCATCTTTTCACAAATACTATTGTTCTAGCTTTGGCCAAAAATAGCGTTTTCGTTGCTTATAGTGTGAAGCTGATTGAGGAAGTAGTTCTTCAGGACATTTTAAAGGCTTCTTGTTTGAGTGATCAGTTTCCACACTGATGCACTTACAACCCACATTCCTTTATAGCTTTATCTAAAGGCTCCTGCAATACTAATCTGTTAAAAAAAATGTTTGTATGAAGTTTTACATTCATGTAAAAAGCTGGAATTTCTTTGAAGTCCCTATCACAGAATTGCAAAAGCATATTTTAAAAACTGGAAATCAGTCACTCTTTGATGCTACAAATTACAAGGCTCACAAAAGGCAATAATAATTTTGCCAGCACAGAGCACTACTGTTATTCTGCAAATATCTCACAGTGATGTTGCAACACTCCGTGTCCCTCATCAGCGATCAACATGCTAATTAGCCCTGAAATTTGAAGGGAGAAGAGTCTTTTCTAATCTGCATGAAGAACGGGCCGCTCTGTCACTCATTATAGCAAACTTGTAATTCACCCAGTCTCATTATATTGACACAGTGCAGGAACTGGTCTGGTCACTGTGGGGAAAATGTCATGGATCATGCTAATGATCGACACTAAGACTCATTCCCACAGAGCTAATAATTGCTTACTCCGGCTGTGCCATTTCTATAATGATTAATTCTATTTTTCCCCACATACAATTATTCTTTCAGATAAATGCGGTGCAGTGTTGGTGCCCGATTGAGTTTGTTTGTTTATCAAAATACTTGTGAGGATCTGTTGTTCACACTTTATCACGGACACCCGGTCCAACATCGGAGATCACGCAGCTCAGAGTTGGGATAAATTAGAGCGTAAAATGTTTGATATTTGATGTCAAACACTTCCTGTCTTCTGACTTGCACATTAGTGAGTATAAATCTCAATTCAGCACAGACTGTCAAAACTGTCCTGCTTTAAACTCACACCCTATCAAAATTTAACATGGCACACAGGCTTTAAAAGATACATGATGGATGTTTATTAAGACCTTTTCTTCTTTCAAATTTTCATTTTTGGCAAATCTTTAACTGCTCACCACACTAGTTTTATTCATATTAGTGGTGATACATTATAGTAATGACCAACAGGTTGAAGGTTTAGGGCAGCATTTGACATTTAGTCTTAAGTGTTGGCTAATGTTAAGAGTTTTCATGTTTGCTTTGCAGCGTTTTGTAACATTTTGTAACATTTCAGCTTTTAAAATAAGCAGCACACAGAATTCAAATGCAATATTTACTGAAATGGAGGAGAAGAGATGACTTGAAAAGTGAGATTCATGATATAGTAATATAGGAGAGATAAGAAAAGAAAATAGAAAATATCTCATTGAACTGTATCAAAGGTGGAAAAAAGAAAGAAGAATCATGTCAGTGGGGATTCTGGGTGGGTTCATGGTTGCCAGTGCCAATGGCAACAAGCCTTAACCCCTGTACAGCATTGTAATAGAAATATATTGAATCATTTTCTTCGTTACATAATGTTTTATCCGCCCTTCATTGAGCTTCTTCAGTGTCATGAAACAGCGTGCCTCTGGATTGCAATGTGTCAGGAATGTCAAAGAGTCTCCACAGACTAATATTCATGAAAACACAATCATTGACACAACATTCAACCCGCAGCGTTGACGGAGATCTGGAGAGTTTTCTGTGCAAAACAATTTCACAAAAGTACCATTGTGGCAACATGTGCAGTGGGAAATAACAAGATATTGTCAATGCCCCTTAATTTAATGTAATGTAATGTAATAGAGGTTATATTGCACGAATGTTTCCCGCCCTGTTTGCTTTGATTGAGCTGTTTATGTGTTGTTATTATTATAAGTGTACAGTAGTGAAGTTGTGTTATTGTGAGCTTGTCTCACACACACAAACAGAGACACACAGACACACACACACACACACACACACACACACACACACACACACACACACACCAAAGGACAGGGCTCTGTCTTAACAAGCTGTAGGCAGGCCATTATTTACACAGTTAGCAACAGGCTGAGGGTGAGAACTTCAGTCATTAATTTACCTGCCTGTGGCTAAATAATGTTAATTCTGTTGGTTTGGTAATTAACAACAAAGAACAACTCCTGTTCAAATGTGTTTTCTCTCTAAAACTATCACTTTGGTGTTTGTCTTGTTGCAGCGTTTGGTCTTCCTCCCGATAAACGACTTAGCTGGACGATCACATGACATCATTTTCAGACAGGCAGGTGGCAGCTAGCTCAGGTGGATAACAGTCCATAGTTTGAATCTCCCAGTAAATCTTCAAACATATCACATCATTGTTTCAGGCTTAAATATTCAGAGTCGTGACCTTCATGATTTGGGGCTGTGAAGCTAACGTTAGCATTAGCTACTAAAGTGCAGCTCGCTCATCGGTATCTTTACAAGTGGAAACGGGCCAACACAGGAAGTGCCAAAAAGCTGCAGTTCCTCTAACGACCACTAGAGTCTGGCTCCAACAGTGAGTCAGTCCCCATAGACTCCCATGTTAAAACTTTACAGCAGAAATAAACATGTTTACAGCCTGGTACAAAAACTGTTTTGGTCTCTAGAGCTAATTTCCTCCTTCATGACACCTGTTTATATAACTCACCTGTTTATATAACTCACCTGTTTACATTTTATTAAGGACTAAAGCTATGGAGGGTTGAGCGTATGCATGCACCGAAGTCTCGGCGCCCCACCTCTTTGCTCATTTTCAAATTAGCTGGGAGTTGGGGGCGGAGTCAGCCACTGCCAAAATGGCGATGATGAAGCAGTTCAAGACTGCTCTTCAGAAACCTGTGGGTGACGTCACGGAGGCTTCGTCCATCTTTATTTACAGCTTGTGTATCATTAGCAGCCTTCAGTCACATATGAAAACTTTTTACTCTGCCACTTCCTCAGTCGTACAGCAACACATCCAACAACCCAAAACACACTGTAGAAACTCCACCTACATAATAACTCACGGAGCTTCTACCTTTTTGATTTTGTGTTCTTTGAGTTTTTGTCTATACAGCCACACAGTGATTATTTGGACCTGTGCATTTATCACAAACAAACCTCAAACGCTCACCCAGACAGCAGCTATAGTCAGGACTGAATGTAAGAGCTGTTCATGAGATGGATATAGGTTGAATCACCATTATGTCTCATCAATCTGTGATTGCATGAAAATTGTATGAGAATGTCAAAGCTTATTGCTCTATGAAAAGTTAGTGACGTTATTTGTGATCCCAGCAACAACAAGCTGAGAAGATCATCACATTAACACACCTTCGTGTTTAAAGTTAACAAGAGCGTCAAAAACCAGCCTGACGAAGAACTTACCGTCAGCAGCAGAGGACGGCTCTCCTTGACAGCTCCCACGCAGCCCAGACAGCCAATCACCATGATGATGGTCCCCACGGCGATGAGCAGGTTGGCCGCTGACAGGGAGGGAAGGGATGATGACAGGGTGGCAAAGTTTCCCTGGGTCACCGAGAGCCAGACTCCCACACCCAGTATGCCGCATCCTCCCAGCTGCCGAGGAAACACAAAGAGGAAAAGGCGGAAAGCTGTCAGCGTGCTAACAACACGGCCAAACTCATCCTCAACACAAACACACAGTCAAACGTGGCGGTGCATAGAAATATTTGCTGACTCGTCGTGGCTTTCTGTTTGTCTGCCAGCGGAGATTGAAGAAGGAAAACATAAAGAACAGCAACAATTGGGGTAAAAGATCAACAGAAGAGAGCAAACCAAGCCACCCAGTTTAAACTTTTAACTTCTACATTCGGAGAAAATACGCTCATTTGCTTTTTAGCAGAGAATTGCAGAGGAAACAGATTCCACTCTGAAGTCTGTCAGGTAAGTATAAGATTATAGTCAGCAGCCAGGTGAGTCGTTACGTCCCCGACTATTTCTTGCCAGCAAACATTAACTACTTGAGGATTTGTTGGATGCCTGGCGACTGGTTCCTGCCAAGAAATAGTCCCGCTGTCAGTCACTGGAATTTGATTCTCAGCTTTAATGAGATAACGTTGGTGTTAGCGAGCTTCAGAGAGCCAGACTAGCTGTTTCCACCTGTTTCCTGTCTCTATGCTAAACCTAACTAACAGACTGCTGGCTGTACCTTTTTATTATATGTATATATATATAATATATGTACTGTGCAGGGAAGAGAGTGGTATCTATCTTATCCTCTAACTCACAGCGAGAAAGCAAATAAGTGCATTTCCCAAAATGTCATACTGTTCCTTTAAGGTCACTTTCACACCTGGAGTTCGCTTCACACAGTCCTGACCAAAGAAAAATATTATAATTGATGCATTGTTTTCTCTTGCTATGTTTCATTTTCACCCTGGTTTATTACAAATCATGGAGCATCAACTCGGAGGGACTGACGTGTTTTGAATAATGAGCAAAGACAGAGGTGTCTTTGTGCTGTAATACTACAGGACGGGTGGTTACTTACTCCTGCACTCATGCTGAAACATTTGCATGCTTACGAGAGGATCTTGTACGATCATATAGATACACAGATCTCTGCGGACATTCCTCTCTTTACAGTTCACAGGATGATCACCTGAATGTAATAATGCTGGAGCTTTTGAATTTATGCTAAATCACACACCTGCTTTGATAGAGAGCTGTGGTTGGTCTGTTTGCCTGCTTGCTTTCACTCCACTAAGGAACCACATCAGAGTTTTTTATTGCTGCCAGAGCTGGAGGACATATTGCTTTTCGGGTTGTTTGTCCGTCCAATTCTCATGGACACGATATCTCAGTAATGCTTTCACCGAACCTCTTCAAAACCTTCACTCAGACTCGAGGATGAACTGATTAGATTTTGGTGGTCAAAGGTTGAAGGTCAAGATCGTGGTGACCTCACAAAACACATATTTTCATATTCCATATGAAGGGTAGATGAACAGGGTTGTAACCTGAGTGGCGGAGGCAGACGACCACGAGGCGGTAATTCTACTTTGATCTCGGGTTGGTCGGCATCAGATCTATCGTTTTTGTTTTGCCTACAGTTTGGGCAAATTATTTTGGTTCAGCTTTAGCTTCCTTGGTATTTTTACCTTTATCAGACAGTTGACTGCAGAGAGTGACAGTAACTGGATCATGGTGGTTAAATTCATTTTAGAGTTCGTCTCATTTTAACAACAGAAACTCTTTCAACGTTGTCAGTATTTTTTTTTTTTTTTGCACATTTCAAAGACAGAAAGTATGAACTTCCCATTAAACAGAATGAATTATGATGTTACACTAATTATCACCTCCACTGAAGAGGTTGGTATTTTAATATATGCGACCAGTTACAGTCCGATGGGGCCAGTGTTTGAAGAATCCAGCTGCTGTGGGACGAAACCTCTCTCTCTCTCTCCCTCTCTCTCTCTCCCTCTCTCTCTCTCTCTCTCTCTCCCTCTCTCTCTCCCTCCCTCTCTCTCTCTCTCTCTCTCTCTCCCCCCTCTCTCTCCCTCTCTTCTCTCTCTCTCTCTCTCTCTCTCTCTCTCTCTCTCTCTCTCTCTCTCTCTCTCTCTCTCTCTCTCTCTCTCTCTCTCTCTCTCTCTGAAGCCAGATCCTGTTCTTTTTTCTTCTTTGTGTTTGTGTCCTCATGAAGAAGAACATGTCTGCTTTTAGATGCACAAAATGACAAACAGTAGCACGTTTATGATGCACATCACTGTCATCCATCTTACTCACACACACTCTACGACCACTTGCCAGAACTCCCAAAGGCAATAACCACAAATACACACACACACACACACACACACGCTTTTCTTTCTATCTCCAGCTTTAACACAAGATCTTATTTAATGAGCTCTTGAGCTAGAAGTAGGGCAAGGCAAAAATAAAAACCACTCATGTGGGGCTCCATTCAGTGAGGCAGGTTTCTGCTCACCATCTAACACAGCTGGGAGATTTCAGCAGCTCGCAAATGAAGGGTCTTTGGGTCACTGTCGCTCGCAGCGGACCCCTATTACACCCCAGAGTGTATTCTCTAATGAAGACGGGCCACAGTGAGGAGGATGAAAAGGGAACGCTGGGACTAAACGGTGGCGAACAGATTCATAAGCTCATCAAAGAGGAGGATATGACACTGTGGACACAGTTTACATTCTGCAGACGTGCAGGACGTTCGACCCAGTCCTCCTAAAACTACCAGAAATTATCGAGCACAGAGCCAGATGTTACTTGGCATCCGGGGCCAGTTGCTTAAAACTGTGTGACAACCTAAGGATAGAAAGATGCTAACGCAGTCTTTTCACCAGATTCATAAAGCTGGGCTCACGCCTCGCTCTGTTTATTAGTCCCAAAACTGTGCCGACGTGCATGAGCCTCATTTCCACTCCCACAGTTTGCCATAAATGGATGTAGAAATGCCCTTAAATGCCCTTTTCACTGTCTGCACTAGCAGAGGAGAGTGTCTCTGTTCTCTCAAACGCTGCGTCGGTTGAAACTTATTTTGTTGTTGAGAATTTATGAAATGAAGTTTGTTTGGATTTGTTTTGTTTTTTTCAAACTTGTGCATAAAACTTGAAAAGCACTTCAGTCTTTTCTTCTCCATTTCGCTGTCTGAAGTGATATTCATGATTTCATCTATTCATCTGTCAGAGAGAGAGAGGAGGGGCGGTTCTCTCCAGTAGATCTCCAAAAATGTTTTAAACTGTATTATCTTGTATTTTATCTTATTGTATAGAAATCAAACAATGAACTGCATCAGTGTGTGACACGTATATTTAATGTGTAATATTTGAATCATCTCTAAACTGCTTTGGCAAGAGCATGTTTCTGTTCATGCCAGGAAAGCTATTTGAATCTGTAATCTAGAGAGAGAGAGAGAGAGAGAGAGAGAGAGAGAGAGGCGTTAGGTGTAATTATTATATGATTTGTCATATACAGTGGGACAAAAAAGTATTTAGTCAGCCACCAATTGTGCAAGTTCTCCCACTTAAAAAGATGAGAGAGGCCTGTAATTTTCATCATAGGTACAACCTCAACTATGAGAGACAGCATGGGGGGAAAGAATCCAGGAAATCACATTGTAGGATTTCTAATGAATTAATTGGTAAATTCCTCGGTAAAATAAGTATTTGGTCACCTACACAGACCTGTAACTTCTTCTTTAAGAGGCTCCTCTGTCCTCCACTCGTTACCTGTATTAATGGCACCTGTTTGAACTCGTTATCAGTATAAAAGACACCTGTCCACAACCTCAAACAGTCACTCCAAACTCCACTATGGCCGAGACCAAAGAGCTGTCAAAGGACACCAGAAACAAAATTGTAGACCTGCACCAGGCCGGGAAGACTGAATCTGCAATAGGTAAGCAGCTTGGTGTGAAGAAATCAACTGTGGGAGCAATTATTAGAAAATGGAAGACATACAAGACCCCTGATAATCTCCCTCGATCTGGGGCTCCACGCAAGATCTCACCCCGTGGGGTCAAAATGATCACAAGAACGGTGAGCAAAAATCCCAGAACCACACGGGGTGGACCGAGTGAATGACCTGCAGAGAGCTGGGACCAAAGTAACAAAGGCTACCATCAGTAACACACTACGCCGCCAGGGACTCAAATCCTGCAGTGCCAGACGTGTCCCCCTGCTTCAGCCAGCACATGTCCAGGCCCGTCTGAAGTTTGCTAGAGAGCATTTGGATGATCCAGAAGAGGATTGGGAGAATGTCAGATGAAACCAAAATAGAACTTTTTGGTAAAAACTCAACTTGTCGTGTTTGGAGGAGAAAGAATGCTGAGTTGCATCCAAAGAACACCATCCCTACTGTGAAGCATGGGGGTGGAAACATCATGCTTTGGGGCTGTTTTTCTGCAAAGGGACCAGGACGACTGTAAAGGAAAGAATGAATGGGGCCATGTATCGTGAGGTTTTGAGTGAAAACCTCCTTCCATCAGCGAGGACATTGAAGATGAAACGTGGCTGGGTCTTTCAGCATGACCATGATCCCAAACACACCGCCCGGGCAACGAAGGAGTGGCTTCGTAAGAAGCATTTCAAGGTCCTGGAGTGGCCTAGCCAGTCTCCAGATCTCAACCCCACAGAAAATCTTTGGAGGGAGCTGAAAGTCCGTGTTGCCCAGCGACAGCCCCAAAACATCACTGCTCCAGAGGAGCTCTGCACGGAGGAATGGGCCAAAATACCAGCAACAGTGTGTGAAAACCTTGTGAAGACTTTGACCTGTCATTGCCAACAAAGGGTACATAACAAAGTATTGAGATGAACTTTTGTTATTGACCAAAAACTTATTTTCCACCATAATTTGCAAATAAATTCTTTAAAAATCAGACAATGTAATTTTCTGGATTTTTTTTTTTCTCATTTTGCCTCTCATGGTTGAGGTTGTACCTATGATGAAAATTAGAGGCCTCATCTTTTTAAGTGGGAGAACTTGCACAATTGGCGGCTGACTAAATACTTTTTTGCCCCACTGTAGCGGTTGTGGTTGTAACCTGTCCTTGTGTTTCTGAGCTGCTGCTCTGCTCCACAGCATCAGCAGAATACGATTTGTTT